TAGATGAGGCGCTTAGGGGCATGGTTTAGTGGGCATGGTGGTGTTGGGTCGACGGTTGGACTCGATGATCTTAGAGGTCTTTTCCAACCTTAATGATTCTATGATTCTATAACTGTGCTCTTGGTCCAGTATGTCATCCAGAAAATGGTACTTTCAGTGTAACGGGGACTTTTAGTACAGTGTTGGTACTAGATGTTGACATTATTAGAGGAACATGGTTTTATCTAGCAGTGTTCAGCTGCTAGTAACGGGGACTTTTAGTACAGTGTTGGTACTAGATGTTGACATTATTAGAGGAACATGGTTTTATCTAGCAGTGTTCAGCTGCTAAGGACTTTGGGTTTGTCTAGTCTGGAGAAAAAGAGGCTGAGGGGTGACCACATTGCTCTCTACAGCTTCCTGAGGAGGGGAAGTGGAGAGGGAGGTGGTATCTCTTCTCCCTGGTATCCAGTGGTAGGACATGTGGGAATGGTTCAAAGCTGCATCAGGGGAGGTTTAGACTGGACATTAGGAAGCATTTCTTTACTGAGAGGATAGTCAAACACTGGAACAGGCTTCCTAGAGACGTGGCCGATGCCCCAAGCCTGTCAGTGCTTAAGAGGCATTTGGACAATGCCCTCAATAACATGCTTTAACTTTTGGTGAGCCCTGAAGTGGTCAGGCAGTTGGACTAGATGATCGTTCTAGGTCCCTGCCAGCTAGAACTACCCTATGCTATGCTATGCTATGCTATGCTATGCTATCCTAAATAAATGTTTGTGAAAGGTGCTGAACCAACTGAAACCAGAAAGTCGAAACCTTCTGGAAGCTGTTGCAGCTTTGGAAACCTCTGCTGTGTTTCCCACTGGCACTGTGTTTCCTCTTCCAGGACTTCAGCAAGCATCCCTTCCCGGGCGTGTGACAGTTGTGCTCTGGGTTGTGGCCACTCAGGTCTTGAAGACCTCCAGCCTCAGGGGTCCCACAACCTCTCTGGGCAACCCACTCCAGTGCTTCATGATCCTCGCAGGGATTTTGGTTTCTCTTCCTTATCTCCAGCCTGAACCTCTCGAGTGTCAGGAGGTGCCACCGTCTCTCACCCTCCCACCAGGCAGTGCTGGGAAGAGCCTGTCCCCACCCCCTTGATGCCTGCCCCATAGGCACCGGGGTGTGCTGTGAGGTGCCCCGACACCTCCTCTGCTCCGTGCTGAA